TCCTTCCTTCCTTCCTTCCTTCCTTCCTTCCTTCCCTTCTTATTTTGGTCTGTGTGATCTCCATCTCATCTGTTCTTGATGTCTACAAAGTAGCATTGTTATAGTGTACCTCTGTGCACACATAATTAAGATGCAAAACAGAAATAATATAACATCAATATAGTGACAAAGCATTTAAAATGAGTACTCCTTGCAATCTATTGTGGTTCTATATTTATTAAAATTAATTTTTATTCTAATTATATAGGCCTAAGGAACAAAAGCCCTGCTCAGTAATCTTATAGAGAAGACAGTATTTGATTTCAGATCGTATGGTGATATCTATCCATGTACAATCCTACAGGATAAGTATTTGTATGCTGAAGAAATCTGCATTGTATCTGAAGATAGCTACGGTACACATACAGCATGAAGATGGAACTTTGAAACAGAGTGTTGGTCTAGGACTAAGCTATAGAATACATAATGGAAATATAGCTTGATCAACTGTTTTCCTACAAAACTGGACAAAAATTGGAATTTTAAATAAGAGAGATAAGGAAAGACACTCTTGTATCTGCTGTGTGTTTAGTTAAAACTAAAAAACAAAACACAAGTATTTCAACAAAAGATCAGATAATAATTGTAGGGTTAAATGGCCGTAAAAACCCTAACCCATCATTTCACAGAATGTTTTCGTGATCGCCTAGGAAACAATATTGACTCTTCTTCAGTAAGGCCTTTCAGGAGTTGTAGAGTAAATTGCTGCTATAACTGCAGTGCTGTGGAGGTCTCAGCCACCAACCAGTCCCTCCCAGCATGCCATCAGCTGCATACAAAGCACACAGTCATGGATACCTGTGTCCACTCGTTTGTCTGTGGATCATATGACTCCATCGTGTTTAGGTATGTCTGGCCATCATATCCACCTACTGCATATAATTTATCACCAAGGATGCAGACCCCAACAGCATCACGAGGCATGCTCAATGGGGCCACCATTGTCCACGTATCAGTTTTGGGGTCATACCTGCACAGCAAAAGACAAGGCATAACTGATGAGAACCTATTTAGGAATCAAGGTGACTTTTTTAACATCATACACATTGCTGTTCAATGGGTCCGACAGATTTCGTGGGACCTATTTCTAAATTCAGCCTGTATAGCAGTCAAAGGTAAACATCATGACCTAGTTTATTCACTAAAATATTGTCAGCGTCTCCAGGGAATTCTTCTCATTCATTCAGATGCTTAATAATATGGCTATATTCTCATTAGGCCAAACTGAACTCTGAGAGATACTGTATGCTTTAAGTATGCAAATATCTTGCAGTGTGAAGTACAAACATACATTTCAAGCATTAATGTCATGGATGTGTAAGGCATAAATGTTAAGATATGTACGTGTGCATTGATTGATTGATTGATTGATTGATTGATTGATTGGTTTCTTGGCCAGTACTGAACAATATGATCAGAATATCAGACAACAGTTACATTTTCAGTTTCCCATTAGTTAAAATATCTTTTTTTTTTTAGGATTTGAGTTGGATTTAATTTTCTTATGTGAAGCCAAGTAAAACATTTCTTATTTTTTTAACTATACTGTATCGGGACAGAATATTGAACAGTGTTATCAGTAACACTGTTATGAAACTGTCAATATATTTCAATTAGAAATGAATACTGATATGCTGATATTTTCTTACACCCTACAGCAATTATTTCACTCTGGATGAGGGCAAAGGATTTAAGCAATGGAAAGCTGAAAACGGTTTTCTCCTTACATTCAGCTCAGCGCTTGCAAATTGATTTCTTTTTGTATGCAGGAACTTTACGGTATCTCCTGTTTCACCTTGGGGCACATCAAGTTATTATGAAGATTAAGCATGCAGCCATTTTTTAGCAAAAGAAATAAAGCTATAAAATGAAGGCAGCTTTTCAGCCTGCATACTCATTTCTTTCTAAGTCTGTCTGGGGTAGTTTTAAGTATTCTATTACTCCCCTGCTACTCCTTTATAAAACAAAAACAAAGGAAAAGAAAACACAATATCTATTCATTATGGCTGTGTTTTGTTTCCTGTGCTATGATGGGCATTCATCCAGACTCTTGTGAGTGAAAAAGACAATTCTGCATCAAATACTGTAGTGAGGTTTATTGCCCTAAGGCCTGTAAAAATAAAATACACACTTGCTAGGTCTGATTGTAAAACGTCCATCATCCACAGACCCACAATTGTCTTGAAACCTGGATCTTTCCCTAGGTTTTAAGATAATTGTAAATGTTTTCAAAGGACCTGGGTAGAGTCATGGAAAAGCTAAGCAAGGAACTTCAAGGACTTATAGACTGGATTGGAAAGTAAAAAAAAAATCCCAGATGAAGTCAATGGCAAGCCACTTTGTCACCCCCGCCCAAGCACATACCCATGTAGTCACCAAGAATTCAGTTGAAGGGAGTCTGGAACATTACAGCATCTTTCCATTGAGAATACAGACAACAAAAGCAGAAGAAAGAACAGAGCGGAGGAAAGAGAAGGAGAGAAAGGACACAGCTTTTACCTTCTAATCTTTTACTCCAAAAAGAAATTCAGAATATATTTATACATCTCCATAAAATACAGCAACGAAACCAAGGGATACTTCTGATACTAAGACCATTTCAAGTCAGTGGCTTTGTTTGCCTCCAGGCCCATCAAAGGTAAACTCATAGAGGATGGATACCTTTCAACATAATCCAAGAGTCTGGAGCAGTGGTTTGATGCAGGAGCATCGTGGCCTCCGACGGCATAAAGAAAACCATCGCAGGTCGCCACTCCAACTCCTCCTCTTCTCTTGCACATTGGAGCACACATGTTCCACTTATTGGTGTGAGGATCATAATACTCCATAGAACTCAGACAAGAACTTCCATCTCGGCCACCAACTGAATACAATCTAAAATAAACAGGGTAGAAGTATTATTAAGCATGAAAGAAAACCCTTAGTCTATGCTGATTTGTATCCTAATTTGTATTCTGGCAAGGTCAACGTGCTCTGAAACAGACAGACCTGAAGATGCTTTGGACACTGAAGTGGCACTTAATCTACTGGTGGTTCACTCCATAGAAAGTATCTAGTGCCAGTTGTAAAAGAAATCATACTGTATAATTGTACCAATGATTTTGGAAAGGAGCTAAATAATCAACTGCCAAGGAATTCAAGAGTGTCATTGAACTGAAAAATCTTTATCCAGCAACTTTATAACTCCTGCTATACATAATGAGTGTTACAACTCCCCAAAGGCTCATATACTGTAAGTTACTTGCACTCCATCGCCCCATCGCACAGTATGACAACTTCCACGAAATCTCCATTTTTTCACTAGTTTCTAGGATTTCAATTCTTTCCTAAATAACAATTTGGAAACATTTCTATTTTGTGGTTCTGCTAAGTCACAAGAAGACCCCCATAACAGTTGGTCTCACTGACAAATACCAAAGCCAGTTGCCAAAAAGTAGGAAAAAATCACAGAGTTTTTAGTAGTGGGGGAGCTGAATGCCCCTGCTCACGATGTCTCCTTTTTCATTTCTCAGCATTCACAACAGACTTTTTAGCAGATACGGTATCATTCTGTTCCTAAGGGGTGATACATTGCTCTCTCTACTTACAGACACTTCTTTCTATTCATGATCTCTGCAATCCTATACCAGCTTTATGAAACAGACCTAAATTATTCTCTGAAAACTGAAGATGAGGTGAGGAAACTGAGAAGGAAAATGGTGTGCCTAAAATGAGCTTATGGCTTGAGTACTACATTGTAAAGGACAGAGAGAAAGAGGGGGAAAAAAGAATGGCCCCATCCTCACAAACTCACTACTTGCTTTCCCAGCACATTCCCACCCAGTCAGTTCTTGTGGCTATTTTAGTTATAAGGAGTTTGTGAATGTTTCCAAACTTGCAAACATCTCTTCATAGTTTATGTACAGTATCCTTGGATTCCTGCTTTTCAGTCAAATCCTAAAGGAAGATATCTTGAGCCATGGTCTCTAATGGGGCTTTCTGAAATCAAGATCTGGGAGGGCTGGCAAGATCAGATTAGCATCCAGGAAGGCTGGTGAGATATGTAAGGGAGAGAATTGTAACCACACCATCTGTTAACTTGCAAAAATACAATAAGTTCAGAAACAACAAACACACAGTTAAGGTTTCAGATCTGTAAGCCACTTAATCCTCCTTGACAAAATTGATTTCTCTAAGGGAAAAAAAAAAAATCTTGATTTAGTCTCTGGTGGATTCTTGACTCGTGTTTTGATAACACCAGGGCCTGAAAATACTTTAAAAAGGTGAAGCAACTTGTCCTGGATTTACACTGATAGGAGCAGAATTCTCAACACTATTACATAAGCCTTTGGAATGGACCTTTTAGTCTTCCTAAGCATTACTATGACAAACTCTCCACTCCTTACAGATGGCCATTAAATCTGGCCAATCTTGATGTTCTTCCAACAATGGTTAGTGAAGGGAGGCAAAAGACCGGCCTGCCCAAGATCTGATCAGCCCTGTGCAGAAGGTGGAATTGAACCAGCACTGCAGATCGTCTGGAGCTGTCCATGGTACCCCTCGCGGCACTAGGAATCGCGCTTGGCGCTGGGAATTAGCCTCCTCCCTCCTTATTACTCTGGCTGCTGTATGGAAACAAATCTGCATTCATAGCAGAAAAAATAGTTGGAAATCTCAAAAAAAGGTCACACAATATTATTCAGTCATGACAAATTAAGGACTCTTTGGGGAATAAATAAACTGTAATAGAATATTTCCATGCTATAGGGCAATTAACTTCATATTTAATTTTTTGATATTTAATTTAATTACTAGTTTTATATTGTTGTTTACAGTAGGAAATATTATGGTAAATAAATCAATCTGATATACACCAAACACAGGAAAAAAAAATCTAAATAATGTCTGTGGTACTTCCTATTTTACAAGATACGTGTGTTTAAGAAATTGGAATATTTCAACTTACGATGTATTTATATAAGGTTATTTATTATCTATTATAACTTCTTAATCTCTTAGAATTCTAAAATAATTGATATATTTCAACTACCTAGGAACATCATGTTCACCACTGTAGAGTTAGACTTAATGCAAGAATAGCCACACCACAACTACTATATGCCCAAAAGAGAGATAATGAAAAATGCATCTGTTTTAGATAATATAGCTGCTGAAGCATATCTTTCCATACACAGCTAACAAATTATATTACACTTGGTGGCCACAAATTATGCAAACCTGCATTCCAATGTACTGATAGAAGTAGACATATAAGCTGATTTATGTGGGATTTAACTGGGAGATACATGAACTATCGCCCTGAACCTTAAGATAAGGAAACAATAATATAATAGAGCTATACTTAGCTATTAGTTGTGATTCAGTTCTTTATAGGCATATGTCTAACTTGTCAGGTTGATGATAATCAGTAAGGGATGGAAATCATTACTGGAAATGTTGAATAGATTTGCTTTCACAACAATGGGCTCCTACAGATGTTCATTCAGAAATAAATATTCGTGTATCCAAAAAGTTTTATTTCATAATCAGAGGGAGAGAGGAATATCAGTGCAATGCATAAAATGATCATGAATGCAGAGAACCAAAAGATCAAATTCTTTTCCTTCTGTTGTGGAAAAATGTTCACTTCAAATGAGGGACCAAAGTGATTGGAGATAAATGCAACATAGTACCTTTTATTGGCACACACAAACTACAGTGATCACTGGGCTCCTCGCCAAAAAACTGCAAAAAAGCCCCAACAAAGCAGGGTTACCAGGTATATGCATTTGGTTTGGATATTGTAAATCATTGTATGACCTCTACACCAGAATGGCTTTGATAAAACATTGGGGGCGAGCATACGAGGTGCCCTGCACACCTTCATACTAACAGGATTCTCTCCTGCTAGATGCTATCACTCAGTTCTATAAACAATCGTGTTTATTGTGTCCATATATGTCCTCCTTTCACATCATCCTGTTCACCTGCTGAGGAAGGACAAAGGCCTGGTTTCTGTTTCCTGTCTCTATTCCAAGGTCACAGCTCTAACCCATGGGTGATTTTACTACAGTCCTGCCTTGATGAAGGCATAAGCCATCTCTGAGCAGGAATAAAATCCTGACTACAATAAATGAAGTATAAACAAATGAAACCTCCACATTTTAGAGGTTCCTTCAGCAAAATGATGGTCTTATTGCACAATGGATTGTTGTAATGACTGTAGAATGAACACACCAAAACACACTTGTTTTGATAGGTGTATTTTCGTCTGTCTTATTTCACAAGACATCATTAACTAGCTCAGGACACTCAGTTGCCCAAGGCTATGGATTTCAATAATATCCTCACCCTATTGATCATTAGAAAAAATACGTATCCACTATGTTCATTCTGAAAGTATTAATATTAATCTTCAGAAACTCTGAACATACAGCTTTCTGGAACCTGCAGCAGCCTTTGAAATGATTTTCATCTGATGTTACTTTTTTTTTTCTTTCCACCAATAGTGGAACAGATCTATAATGTCATGGGACAGATCCATTACATAATTCAGGATTTACACTCAGTTTTCAAAGAATCTGAGTTGAACAAACAATAGCTTTTACCTAGTTTAATATTTACCTGGTTTAATAGTTTTTAAACGTAAATACATTTTTTTATAACTCTTCCAGAACAGGAAGTGATTTGTGGTGCTCTGTATGTATTCTGTCTTCAATTAATTATTTCTAGAAAAGAATGAACCTACCCTGGAATGGCCAAACTGGCACATTTTGGGAGAAAAATGGAGCATTCCTTTACTCAGGAACACCTCATTTTACACACAATTAACCCTAGTGACACCATGACAAGATGAAAGGACACAATAGATCTATACATGTTTACTTACAATTTAATTCCATTGAACACAATGTATTGTTTTCCCAGGAAGCCACTATGACTACAACTTAGCTAATAAAAGTTTTTACACTGTTGAAGAAAAGGAATTTTAAAATATTATTCTATATTAAAACATTAAATATTACAAATATTTCCCATTCTGCAAAACAAACAACCCCCCCAAAAGCGGTATTTAAAAGAAACAAAAAAACAGACTTCCAATGATTCTATTTTCTGTTGTGTAAGAAGCTCTATGTATAATGATTAGCAAGTTTTAATTCTATCCAGTATGTTTTATTTAGAACTTTTCTTCTTTCTTTCTTTCTTTCTTTCTTTCTTTCTTTCTTTCTTTCTTTCTTTCTTTCTTTCTTTCTTTCCTTCCTTCCTTCCTTCCTTCCTTCCTTC